ATTGAATAGGAGCAGTAAGATCATATACTATAATAATTTTTGCTTGTCAAGTAGTATATAGTTTAGTTATAAAATTTGTACTATTAGTTAGGATACTAATTCTTCTGCATATTTCTTGAAGACAAGAGATATTTATTTTGTCAAATGCTTTGGACATATCTTGGAATAGAATCTATACTTCTTTATTTTAGAATTTGTAGTATTCTATTGTATTATGTAAAATTTGAATTGGTATATATGTTAATGTATTTTTGGTACTAGCAAAGTTTAGATTAGAGAGAAGATTATTTGATATGATTATTTTGTCAAGTTATTTAGTAAATATTTTGGTAAGAGTTTTTTTGAATAGTTCAATTATAGAGATAGGCCTATTAAATTATTTAAAAAATAGTATTTACTCTTTAATTTTCTAAGCAAATTTGTCTGAATATAGTTTAAAGAATAATATATCATATATTCTATATTCAAAACTCATAAAGTATTTTAAAATAATCAAATAGATAAAGATAAATATAGTATAAATACTTACTATTATCTCTATTATTTAAAATTGATAATAAACTAGGATCTAAAGATTAATTAATACTTTTAAAATATCTTTGACTATTTTGAAATATATTATTAGCTAAAAAATCTTTATTATTATTGAATAATTTATTGCTAATTTGTTCTACTTCTTTTGATGCATTGCTTATTGCAAAAAAAATATCATCAATTTCTTGAATTTGTATTATTATAACTAGATAAAGTCAAAATTTCATATTCATATGAGCTAATAATAAGTAAATTATTTCTATTGATAGACAAATCTGCAGGTTGAATTATACTAAGAAATTCTGAAAGTTCATATACTAAATGATATGAATGACAAATAGTTTATATAATTTGCTTGTCTGTAGACTATAATTTTAATTTTTTCAAATCTAAATCATTTAATTGCCCTTTATTATAATCAAAAAGATAATCTAATAAAAAAATATATATATTTAACTATAAAATAAGTAAATATAATACAGTATACAGTATTTAACTAGAATTATAGAAATTACTTAATTCTAACAAAGTGATTATAGAAAGTACTATATATTAATAATATAGTATAAAAAATAAGGAAAGAGATATATACATATTGTATATAGGAATAGAAGTTATTCACAAAATTTTTCAAAACTTATAGAAACTTGATTTTAAAAAATTGATTTTCTATAAATTTTTAAAAATTTTAAGAATTGATTTCTATCTCTAACTGTATATAGCTATATTTGCACTTTTTATAGTATACTTGTTAAAATTAAACTACTTTGTCTAATAGATTTTTCTTTATTATAATTTAATTTTTGATTCTATAAAGCTTTACTATATTAACTAATTTTTGGAATCATTTGTATCAATTTAGCAAAGTCAAAATCAGCATTAATTTGATGAGCAATACTAAAAAAATATTCACAGAGTTCAAAACTATAAAACTAAGATAAAAATAAAATTTGCAAATAAAATTTATGGTGTGCTTTTACTAATAATACTACTGATTCTACAAGTAATGTAAATATGGTAAAACTTTGTTATATAAAGAAATTTGTTAGTATTAATACAAAATTCTAATACTTATTTGCTAAAGTTTCAATATGAAATTTCTACAAATTAAAGAAAAAATAAGTAGTTATTATCATATAAATACATTCAATAGGAGCAATATTGCAATTAAAATAGCTATCTATTAATTTTTCTACAATACAATATAAATTAATATATATTCTATAACAATAATATATAAGATCTTTGCCTTGTAAATGACCTTATAGAATATAGTAATTACTATATTCTATAAGGTTATTTTCAAGGCAAAAATTTCATATTTTATTATATATGAAATTTAAACTAACCTATTACAAACAAATATATTATGAATTTTTCTATATTCAACTCAACTTTATAATCTTTTCCAAAACATTGTCTAAAATTTAATGAACAGAATGTTTAATATGCTATATCATCATCCTGCTAATCTAGCTTAATAATATCATTTTTATATATTATTGAATCATGTCTACTTATAAGATTTAACAAATATTAAAATTATGTAGATGATTTCTCAAATATTAAGAGATGTACTCCTGATATAATAGTATTTCATGCAGTTTTTTTTGTATGCTTTGGATCTTGTACAAGAATTATAAGACTAACTTAATCTAAAATAGAGCATGAAAAATTAATATTTAAATCAGATATATATATTGTTAACTTTTCTAAAGTTTGAATATTAAGAATTGATTGTTGTACTTGAAACTCTGTAATTGCACTATTTGATCCTAATAACAAAATATGAAGTTGTAGTTATAGTACTATTTTCTTAATTAATTTTCTATATAGCTTTTCAATAACTTTAATAGTATCTGATCCTTTATTTAGAATAAGAGTAATAGCAACCAGTAGAAACTTTAGTAAAGGTATCTTTAAATTATAAATTATTAAATTAGTATTTATTTAATAATTATTGTTATAGATTATAGTAAAATTTAATTTTAACATAAGTCTAAAAAAAAAATTAAGAAATACACTTCAAATTTTTATATTAAAATAAGATAAATTTCACTCTAATCTATGATTATTAATCTATATAATAGTATGTAGCTCTTTGCCTTGAAAATATCTTATAGAACATAGTAACTACTATATTGCATAAATTATTTTTAAGACAAAAACTCATGTATCATACTTGTAAAAGATATACATGAACAAATTTAGCAATTCTATTTAACAATTTAATTTTTGCAATTACTTTTAAAATATTTGAGTAAATGTTTATATATGTCTCTTTTTTCAAAAGAACTAATCAAGTAATATATCTAAGTGTAGAGTTATATTTTAGTTGTAGCTTCAGCTTGGTATTATCAGTCATCACAACAATTAGGCTATTATATTAAATAGTATCAATTAATTGTTTAAAATAAGCAATATTTTTAAAACAAAGATCTGAATTAGTTAAATAATCCTTATTATTATAATATAATTTTCTAAAAAGTATTAATAAATAACAAATAAATTAAAATAAATACATTTGACTCTAGATTAGTATTTAAGTCTATGCAATTCAGTGATTTTTATTGTTCAAATAATAAAATCTCTAAAATCACATAAATCTAAATATTCTATTCTATAATATCGAATCTACTCTATAACAAATATATTTTAAAAATTATTATTGAGTTAGTATAAGAACATAGTAAACTTAACAATACCTAAGTAGTTGAATTTTTCTTTCTTTTAAATTTTAATAAAATAAGTCTAGAGCTCTTAGACTAATACTTCTTAAAATAACTAAAAAATTTGTAAACTTTTTGCTATACTTTATATTTTGTTTGTTTTTATCATTAGCTTTTCTTTTAGCAGTATTACTCATCATTTTGCAAAGTCCTAAAAAGATAAGTAAATCCTTAAAAACTCTATTTATAGCTTTATCAGCTAATATAATCTAAGAATTTAATATTTGATTTTTATTATCATTATTAAGTAAATTCTATATCTTATGAAGATCAAGATTTTGAAGATAACTTTTCAAGAAGTTATTTTTCTAATAAAATTTAGGAGTAAATTTAATGTTTTTTGATAATAGAGTTTTTATTAAAATTCTATTGCAAAGGTTTTTATCAAATCAAATATAATAGTATTTATTATATATATCACTTTTTTCTGCAAATCCTGAATATATCTTAATATATACAATATTACCTGTATTTTTAGAACTATTTAGAAATTAATAATTATACTTTTTTAAATTAATATATTATCTATTTTTATACATCTAATTTAGACAAAATAGCAATCAAAATTGAGCAGAACTTTTTGCAAAAGTTCTGCTTAATTTTGATCTCTATTTTGTCTAAATTAGATATACAAAAATAGATATTAAATATTAATAATAATAAACAGTAGTAATCTGTATAACTTACTATTTTGATCTATTTGCCAAATAGATTTTGCATATAAAGCATGATTTTTTTTTTTTTTTTTTTTTTTTTTTTACTTTATACAAATGCTATCAGCTAACTTTATTAATTTCATAAATTTCAGAAGTGATATATATTGTGAGAGTACAACTAGCTACATGTACAATTTTAGATTGTCTATTTTAAGTAGTCTACTCAAAGATTTTATACTAGCTACTATATCTGAAATCTCTTAGAAGATTCTCTATTTAAACTCTCTAGCTCTATCCTACTTACTGTAAATATTACTCTTATAGTTAACTCTAACCCTGTGCTACTTCATATTAGGAAGTACTAAGCTGATATTAGTCACAAACTTTACTATTATGAACCTAGGTCTTATCTAAATAAGTCCTACTTCAATGCTCTTAACAGATAGATATTACAATATCTAACTATACTATGCTATATCTCTATTCTAGCTTGTATATACCCTTATTCGATATTTATACAAACCCAGTTCTAGCTATAGCCCTCTACCAGTTTAGACTTCTGTATCCTTCCAAATATTTTATGAGGCAGATCCTTCCAATCTAGTTAGCTGCTAAGCCAAGTTGGTATCACCATAACACCCAATATCATAGACTTACTTGCACTTACTCAATCTATATCTTCATATTCAGAAATTTTTATTAGATCAAGTATTAACTAGTATAACTATTGAAATTCATACTACTTTACCTAACTCAAAATTTCTATTATGTAGGTTCTCTGCTCGTAGATTCTATCTTAATTTATTCATATAATGCAACTCTAATATTCTATTATACCTCCAATATCTGAACAACATTGATACAATATGATTTATAGGGTTACAACTCTAGAAATAAACAGAGTTTACCATAAGTTAGATACAAGATTTGAGAAATTATTTAAAGTGTTAACAGAAGGATTTGAATTCCAAACCTATTGCATAGTAGTCCAACAACCTATCTACTATACTAGATTACTAAACCTTAAAGCATGATTTAATTTTTGCTTTTGATCATAATTTAGCTTTTTTCTATTAAATTTTTAAAAGAATAACTTTAGAAATATTTCATATACAATAACTTCTATATGATGTGAACTACCAAACTGTACTAGAGTATATTTAATATAATTTAAAATTTGCTCAGATTGAAGATCTTAGCATACTAAATATTTTTTAAACTGTATTTTATTACTTAATAGTTTAGAAATTGCTAATGCTAATATATTGTTATTTGTTTTAACTTCTTCTGCTTCATCTACTTGTAACAAATCATCATTATTTATATTGTTATAAATGTCTGAATCCTACTCATATCTTTTACTATATGAACTTACAACTATATTAGGTTTAAAAAAAATTATAAATTAATCTTTGGTCTTCTTTAGCTTTATAACTAGAACTTTTAACATATCTATTCAGATAATCTTCTTCCTATTTTTAGTATAGCTTAATTTTTTTCTACATAAATATACAACCTTTTTTGAATTAACAATATAAGTACAAAATTCATGCTTTAGTAATCATCTTGACTATATTTCTACTTATACATTTTTTTTTTTGATTTTTTTTTTTTTAATGTCTAATATTAGTCTGATAATATACTGTAATAATGTTCTAATATTCTTTTGTTTGTATATCTTAACTATATTTATAATTCTTAATTATACTTTAATTCTAATAATATATTTGCAATTTCTTCACTAGGTATTATATAAACAGGTACTTTGTGATATCTTATTTTAAAGTTTTAACTAACTTAGAAAGTTACTTTTTATTTTTTTTTTATTTTTTATAATTATTATTTTTTTTATTTTTTTTCCTTTTTTATTTTTATTTTATTTTTTTTTGTTTTTATATTTTGTTTTCTTATTTAATAATATCTTTAATACAAACTACCACTTGATACTTATATTTCTAGCTTTTAATAAGTAAAAGTTCATTTTACTTTATACTCTATATTCTAATTACTTTGTATTCATTTGGTTTTATTGTTAATGCTAGCTTATCATACAATTACTTTACTATACCTAATACTCACAAAGATAATTAAATTTTTAAGAAAGAAATAGCTATTCACTTTTTTTGCTTTATATATTAATTTAATTTTTATTCGGATATATAATTATCTAAATTAGACTTTATATAAAACTCAGATCTTTTTAAGAGTACTTTTAATTAATTTATATAACTTTAATATCAGTTAATTTATTAGAATATAAATATTATTAAGGGAAAACCTGTTATTAATCATATAAAATTTATATGATTGATAACAGACTTTTTCTTTGAAATATTTATATTCTAATTTGCACTAAAATTATATATTAGCAATTTCTACTATTTTGAATTTTAGTCAAAATTATGTATACTAACAATTTAATCTTTTTTAAAATTTTATAAATTTTATGCAAATCAAATACCTTATATTTGAAAAGGTTATTAAATTAGTTATACTTCTAGTTTTCTGACCTATATACTAATAGCTTGAGGTCCTAGTAAATATTTGGATCTTTTCTAATAGCAAAGTAGTAATTGAAGATATTCAAAATTTTAAGAGCTTAACAAATATAAGAAGCAACTTTAAAGCCAAAAACTATAGTCTAATTAACTAAATTCTAAACTATTGCAAAATAAAAGAAGTTAAGCTAGAGCTAATTAAAGTTAAAGAATATAGCTTGAATACATGAAATAATAAAGCAGATTATTTAGTGAAAGAAGGTCTTATATCTGATCTTATACTTGAGGCTCAAAAAATAACAATGAGCAAAATAAGAATATTCCTAGTTTAGAAATAAAAATAATAGATACTGCATTAAGATTTTTCATAAATTTAACTATAACAATAGTAAATAATAGTATCTAAACAAACATAAATAGCATCAAACCAGTTATAAATCAGAGAATAACAGATCAAAATAGCTTTGATATGAATTAGAAAAATACTTAGAACATACTAAAAAGCTAGCAGAGTAAAAGATACATAAGTATTAAGAAAAGTAATACTTTAATATTTAGAATAAAATACCTTAACAAACTTTTACTAAAAAAGATATATACTATCAAAAAAACTCAGTACTATATAAAAGCAAAATCTGTATTATATGCTATATAAAAGAAGAGTTACTAGAATATTTAGTAGAATACCAAATTTATCAAAAATTTAGAAGAAAATTGAAGAAATCATTATAGAGGAGTTTGAGTATTTGATTAGCTCTAAATGAGAAGTTACTATAAGAAGCTAAATACTTAACAAGATATTTTTAGATTCAAATATAAATATTAGATTCTAAAAAAAAACTCTATATATGCAGGCTAACAAATACAAGCTTAGTAGCAGAAACTAAAGATCTTTTAGATTCAACTGCCAAGGTGAACAAAGCTATTTGCTAGTTTATAGAAATCTTTTGGTTAAACTTTTTTAAAAAACTTTAAAAATTCTGTTGTAAAATTATATCAGAATAGGAAAAAAAGAATAATATTACTAGCAAAAAGAAGAAGACTAAGTCTAAATACAAATCTAAAACCAAAGTGAAAAAGAGGTATAAAAATAAAAAAAATCAAACTTCAGTAAGCAAGAAAAGAAGTAAAAGAATTAGAGTGAGAAAAGGAAATAAAAATTTAGAAAGAAGCTAAAAGCAAAATTGAAAATTAGATTATAGAAGGAATAAAGAATAGTTAGCTAACTTTTAAAAATAATTAGACAATTTTGATATAAGCATATAGTAGCTTTTTGTAGATCTTTAAAGCAAGATTCTGTTTATATACTCTACTCTTTTAGAAAAAATTTGTTATTGTAGCAGATTATACTTAGGTACTATAAATAGCCAAGTAAGCTTAGATTTAAGTTAAGAGAGTATTTGTATAGCTAGTTTAATTTAGTTTATATTTTTGCTATAATATTTTTTTATATTTTCTCTTAATAAATGAAGAGCAAGATCATTTAAGAAAAAAAAAATAAAAAAAAATAAAAGAAGTAAAGATTTTAGAAATCAGCTCTAGTTCAATTTGTTTTATTATTAAATATATAAGAAGAAAGAAGAGGTTTATAATCATAAAAAAGATTATAGTAGAAGATCAAAGTTTGTATTAAAGCAAAATTATAGTTATAGATATTGTAGTAATTTCTAAAATTTTGTTAGATCTATATACCTATATATTTGACTTGTGAGGCATCTATCTCACAAGGAATTTCTCTTTCTATAAAGTTGTAGTAAGCTACAAGCTATCTCAATATCTAAAAATTTAATATTTAAAAATTTTTATAATTATCTAAGAATATTATATCTAGAAATTAGTTTTATTATCTAAGAATATTTTATTTGCAATTTCTTTTTCATTCAAATATTTTTTTTTCATTCAAAAATATTTTATCTGAAAATTGCTTTGTCATTAATAATATTTATCTATTAATCTTCTTGTTGTTATCTAAGAATATTTTATCTAAGAATTTCTATCATGAGTTATATTAAAATATTCATTCAAATAAAAATTTAATCTAAAGTTTTTTATCAATATATACATAGTTAAACTTTTCAAGCATTAATATTTAAGAATACTTGATAAAACTTTTTCAGCTTAATAAATTAAATTAAATTTTTCTATATTTTTAAAAAGTAACAATATACACACAACTCTTTCTGTAGATCATTTAGACCATTTCTTAAGCTAAAGCAAAAATATATTTTTCTAAGAAACTGCATTAAGAAACAATACAAGAGGCAATAAGCAAAAGGAAAGAGCATACAAAGTTACACT